TCGAATAGCTAACACTCAGGTGGTGAAATAGCTTTTAATTTTTATCAAATGAGTTTGAAAATATTAATAAATTGTATTCTCCAAACAAATATATTCAAACAGAAATGAGGTGTTTTATTTGAAGGTAATGGCTTTACCAAATTATGTAGCATTACAATAAGAACAGGTAAGAAATGGCATCGTATTATTTAATTTATAGAGTAAATTTTGTCATTATATAAAGTAGATTTATACTTTGTTAGTCACCGGACAGTTAAACTACCTTTCCAATATTTTTTCACTATACAATGGTAGTCTTTGTACTTAACATGCCATTTAAGGCACTGAACTCTTAATAACAACTCAAGAAAAAAAAAGTCTAACATGTTGTATTAGGGAGCTAGTTGACTTTCATATAAAACATTGAAACACAAATGCTTTAAACTCTAAGTTTGAGCTTAGATAATTCAGGCATCGTTAGTAATTAAATGAATCATCAGGTTAGAAATTACTAAGCATTTTGAACATCACTAACCTGAGATGTTACATTTACTGACATTGGAAAATTTTTGTCAATTTTGAAACACAAATGAATTTAGAGTTAACAAATTCTCTTGTATTTATATAATTGATGTATACTAAAAACACAAACTTCTGGAGAAACCATTGCAGCAGTGTTCCATTAACAAATATTAAGAAAGTATTTGTAAAACACTATCATATTTGCTATTTTGCAGGCCTGTATGAATTTCAATGACAGTGGAGCTTGTGTTACTCAATGTCCCCAGACCTTCGTCTACAACCCAACCACCTTTCAACTGGAGCACAACTTCAATGCCAAGTACACATATGGAGCGTTCTGTGTCAAGAAATGCCCACGTAAGTGACAGGACATGAATAGCTTCATTAATTAGAACATTGGTTGAAAATGAATGAATTTCATGTAAATTAATTCGAATTTGGAACTTGAACAGTATCGGAAATTACTTTGGGTGTGGGTAATATCACTCCCACTTCACAAATAAGGAAACTAACATTCAAAGATATTCAAATGATTGGTTTAAAGTTCATAACAAAGAAGCAGCATGTTTGAAACTAAAGAGCTGTTAACATTAGAATTCTTGTTATTTTTACCATATGTCAGTGTCTTTGAAGACTGTGCTGTTTCTCGGAAAGATTAAGTCAAATAAGTAGCTACATGCAGTGTAATAAATAGAGTCCAATTCCAATAAGAATGCATTTCTTTCTAAATTTGTTACTGATAATTTACCCTAGAGTATTTATTATTACAATTTTAATATCAAATCTGACTTAAAAAAACAACAAATAAAAAGAATGTGCTAAGGGATCTTTTGCAAACTGAAAGCTCAAACTGGGGATTCAAAGTGATGAGCATAACTCAAGTATTCAGGGTAACATCTGATTTTCTTGAATCAATTTCTTTGATTTGACTGGGAAAGAGGCTTTCCTCAATGTTTTACTTAATGAAAAGGCAATAAAATAAAATATAATAAAATCATATTTTTCACATGCTTATGTAAATAAAGACTTAAAAATCTACCGAATACAGATATGATAACTCACAAACTTCTTTATTGGATTAATATATGGTCTATATATTATATATATATTATATATTATATATATCTTATATATTATATATATGATATGACAATGAACATATATACTCTAAAAATAATAACATATAAAATTATAGATTAATTTATCAACTAATAACAAATGCTGGCAGGGTTGTGGGGAGATAGAAATCCTTTTTCATTGTTGGTGGGAGTGCAGACTGGTGCAACCACTGTGGAAATCAATATGGAGATACCTCAAACAACTAGGATTAGAATTCCTACTTGACCCAGCTATCCCCCTCCTGGGTATCCTCCCAAAACAATTAAAAGAATAATACCACAGTGATATATGCACACTTATGTTTATAACGGCTCAGTTTGTAATAGCTAAAATTTGGAGACAGCCCAATTATCCATCAGCTGGAGACTGGATAAAGAAGACGTGGTTTTTTAATAAAATGGAACGCTACTCAGCCATAAACAATAAGAAACTAGAGACATTTATAGCTAAGTGGATGCACAATGAGGCCGTACTCTTAAGTGAAAGTAATAGAACACACATGCATAAATACCGAATAGTTTCTCTTGAGTGAAAAATTCAGAGTGTAAATAAGGATCAAAATATAGGGCTGGGGATTTAGTTCAGTGGTTTGGTGGCCTGCTTGCAAGGACCTGAGGTCGATCCCCAGTACCAAAAACAAAAACAAAACAAAATATATAATTGATATTTTGTAATAGGAAGAAAAGGTCTAAAAGAGTAGCGAAGTGAGAGGGGTAGGGGAAAGGAAGAAAGGGAGAAGAAAAAAAATATGTAAAAAGGAAAAACATGGAAACTAAGTCTTTGCAAATAGGAAAGGGTGGAGGGGGTGAAGGGAGCGCAGGGGTATGGGGAAAAAATAAGAACCAATATACATCATGTAAAGATACAAGAACCCAAAGATGAATGTAACTGTGCTGTATACCTAAAATGTACTAATAAACTGAATAAAGATAAAAAATAATTTATAAACTGTGGCACTGACTACTGTCACATTTAAATCTCTGCTGCACCTTGCTTGAAGGGCTTAGTTTACCAAATCAGAGCTGAGTTAGAAAAATAAAGACATTTATTTTCTAAGTACAGATCTACAATACCAAATCGCAAATTCTAAAATATAAAAACTCTAAATAACACAAATTTTAGAAATTAATTTGACTGGTGTTCAAATCCTGAATTTAATTGACATAGGCTGCTCAAAATCTCTATAAATACAAAAGTGTTTGACCTTGCAATATTGCCATAACTTGATGTAGAAATATAAAAAAATTAACTATGCAATATTGCCGAGACCTTGCAGAAAAGATGGCTACTCGGCATTTTGTGTATGTACTTAGAGTAGTTTGGGTTCCCCTGGAAGAGATGTTAAGTTATTAGCAAGAGTTCTAGGATTCCATACTTGTGGAAGAAGGCACGGAAACAGGATTGGAATTTGTTGCCATCTCAGCAAAGGGTCTCTTATGGTGGATACTCTTTGTGGCTAACTTGTGATCTAAAATGCACTTTGCGCTTACTCCCATGGGTTTCTACTTATCCCTCTATTCCAGGTTTGCTATATTTCCAGATTTTTCAGTGTGTTTTTTAGCTCCAAGCAAGCCACTGCTCATGAGTATGTATACACATTCTAAATGAAGGCCACTTCTTCTTTCTCCACACAAAGGAAGTGGACCATTACGTTATGTAGAATCATGCCCTTTGGTAGGATTTTATCTTGTCTGTGTCTTTCAAGTCCATTCCTAATGGAGGCCACCCGGAAGCTGCCATCCAGTTTTAGCATGCACTCCCATACTAATTGTAGCTGGTCGTGTAATCTTCGTAGAGCCTGAGGAAGGAGCTGAGTGACTGCTGACACGGTTCACCTGTGCCTACATGTTCTTCCCCTGTTCACGTCCAAACTCAAATGAAGTGCTTCAGTTTCATTGGCTTACTCTCGCATCTGTCCAACATTATGAAATCATGATTCTAACGAAACCTTGTTCATAACGGACATTTCTGGCCCCCAGTTCAATCACTGACTTATGGTCAGGTGGCCCATCTCTACTAGGACCCGGAAGTATGTCAAACAAGAGCTTTTTTATTAAATAGTATACAATTCTATGCTACAGTCGGCATGGCTTTGCTCTGGAAACCTAAAGCTCTCTATTGTTTGTCCAGTTGGCACTTGCCATCACTCCACATCGTATGTACTCCCACCATACCCTCATCCAATATCATAGAGTGTCTTGGGTCTTCTGACCCAAGTGGGAGAATTGCCTACACCTTATGCTTCTGGCTGTGGGCACCCTTCAAGTCAGATGACTCGTCTCCTAAACATTTTACCAAAGTTTAATAAGATGCTCCTTGTCTGCTTGGTATACCTTTTGTAAAGTCTATCTTTCAATTTCACTTTGTTTCTTCCTATAAAAATAGGAAAGAGCTTCTGCGGCACTCCATTGAAACAGAGCACATTTTAAACATTTTCTCCTGGGTCTGAAGTACACTCACTGGATCCAAGGCAGTTTAACTTAAGCTTCATTTGTGCTTCATGAACTTGAAGTATTTTTAGACCTCAAACTTGTATCATGACATGAAATGAAGTGGAACTATTGAGAAACACAAACTAAATGTCATGTAGTTTCCTGAGTCTATAAAAGAAATCCACTCTATCTTGGGGGCAATTCAGGCTGTGGAGCAGTAGTCAAGCGAGTATTAGTGGTTTTTAACACACACTGCGCTAAGATTTGAATGTGAGCTCTTGAAAATGCTATTTTAGTTTCAGATATTTGGACAAAGAATTGTTTTGGGGGAAGACACATGTACACCATCAGAGTTGTTAATCATCTTCAAACCCTAAAATATGCTGTTTTAAACTTGATGGCTGAACATTAACATTATTTCTTACTTTACCTTTTTTTTAAAAAAAAAAATCAGATAACTTTGTGGTAGATTCCAGTTCATGTGTACGTGCCTGCCCTAGTTCCAAGATGGAAGTAGAAGAAAATGGGATTAAGATGTGTAAACCTTGCACTGATATTTGCCCAAAAGGTAAGTAATAGTTTAGTGTACAAGTATTTTTGTTAGAGCAGAGATATATACCATGATTTTCATTTACTTTGCAATAGGTCAATCAAGTTAAGCTCCCATTATAAACCCATTTCCACAGTGATACACACACACACACACACACACACACACACACACACTACCTGTGACTTTGGATAATTCCGTAAAGTATCAACTAACTGTATATCATTGGTTTTGAATGATATGAATAGAAGAATCTAGATAAAACTCCAAGTTAACTTTGACAGGAATACAGAAATAAAATTACATTTTGTTTTACCGGTAAGAAATATTTGAAGTTTTGCCCCAAACAAGGATTTATGTGCTTATTTTATTATCATGACCCATAGTCATCGCTTCTTACTGTACACAAAATGATCTGCCAGTTGTCAACAGGAAAGCAAAGGGGCTTGCAGCATGACATTTAGTCTCCACGTCTTAAAAATATTTTGAAGATATATAAAACAATGGCAAGCAAATTTATTATAAGTGTTAAACAAATGTTGCAGATAATTCATGTTGTAGAATTTTTGTGGGGGAAGAAACCTCTTCCAACCATGAATGCTTAAATTCCTCACCAGAGTGAAACTTAAATTAAGCAGGACCAAAGGACAGCTCAAATCCCAAATGTTATTAAGCCTTTCAAAGTACTTGGGAGTGCCTTAGAAAAGGGCAAACTTCACCTTAACTTTTAGACTACATCCTATGTGTGTGTGTGTGCATGTGTGCGTGTGTATGTCTTTATCTCTGTCTCTCTTCGTCTTTGTCACTCTGTCATTCTGTTTTTTTCTTTCTCTCTCACTCTGCTTCCCTCTGTCCCTCATTCTTCCTCCCTCTTTCTCTATATTCCATACACACACACTTTTTTTAAAGTACAGCTTCGGAAAGCATAGGTATTTTTAAATTTAAGCTCAAGTATTTGAATAGCCCTGAATGTTGGTAATAGTTCATGCTATCAGTACTCCTTGTTTAATATATATTCTTCATTGGACCTATGTTTTTCAGATTATAGCTTCTAATTAGTAGACAAGTAAATATTTTTACTAGTGTGGTAAACATTTACAAAACATTAAAATAATATTTTATAATGGATTAGAAAATAGGTAATTTCACCTAATCATGGAAAGTATTGTTTGATAATGGTTCTGTTTTAGTTCTATGTGTTATGAATATATACTATATCTTGTTATAAACTATAGTTCTGCAGTGAGCTATGGTCACTGGACTGTAATGCTGGGGCAGTATATTAAAGTAGGCCTAGTAGTGCATAATGAATCAATTTGCTATTTTATTTTTCAGAGACAAATTATAATTCTTTTTATTTAATAATAAAGTATTGTTATTTTACAATGAGAATGAAGTGATGGATTTGTTGGCCAAAGGTCTGTTTTTCAGCCCCTTGACTGTAAGTCTTGTTTCTGTAGCTTGTGATGGCATTGGCACAGGATCACTGATGGCAGCTCAGACCGTGGATTCCAGTAACATCGACAAATTCGTCAACTGCACAAAGATCAATGGGAATCTGATCTTCCTCGTCACTGGCATTCATGGGTCAGTATTCAGATCTCATACAGGATTCTTTTACAAAGTGTGCACAAAGCTGACAAAATTTATGAGCTACGTCAGTTTGGTTCTTCTTTTTTTTATTAATTTATTGGTACATTTTAGGTATACAGTACAGTTATATTCATCATTGGGATCTTGTACCGTTACATGACAGGTCTTGGTTCTCATTATTTTCCCCTTGTCCCTGCCCTCCCTTTACCCCCTCCTTCCCTCCCCGTTTACAAACACTTTATTTCCATTTTTTCATTTTCTCATATCTTAATCCAGGGAAATTTTACCTAATGTTCATGTTCTTTGCCAGCAGAAGCAATAGTCAGATGACCAGCAGGGATGGTACACTGGAGTCCTGGGGTAACCTGCATTTTGAGTAACTACTGTGGTTTAAAAATACAAATTTATATTTAAGTCAAAATATTCATAGGAAAATGGATACATATGAAGATATACTCCTAAGTGAAATAAATAAGTCCCACATGTGTAAATACCAAATAGTTTCCCTGGTGTGAATATTCTGCAACAATGCATAAGATTCTAATGAGATTACTGACATTTAGAAATGGGAGGAAAGGAGCTAAAGGTGTAGGGAAGGTGTGATACGTAGGGGAAGAACAAAAAGGGAAAAGAAAAAAATGTGAGAGAATGAAAAGATGAAAATAAAGTGTTTGTAGATGGGGAGGGGAGGAGGGGGTGAAGGGAGGGCAGAGGTAAGGGGAAAAAAATGAGAATCAAGACTTGCCATGTAAAGGTACATGATCCCAACAATGAATGTAACTGTACTGTATCCCTAAATGTACCAATAAACTCAATAAAAAAAATATATATATATATTTATAGTACGCTCTAAAATAGAGAAAATGTATTTATAGAACATTTTCAATATCTAAGGAATAATATTAATGGATAAGATGTGGGACTATTTTCAGCTTTTCAACTGAATATGTTGAGGCAACATAAATTAATATTCTGTCAGAAAACTCATATAAAGCAAATCAAATAATCTGAAATAAAACTGAGCTGAATTTCTCTGGAGCTTCTTGCAGAAATTCTTTGTTTTCATAGATTGTTTTTCTTAATTTGAGAAGTTAGTACTACTGTAGGAGATCTATTAAGTGCATTTCATTTTGGTAATAAAAATTGTCACATTCTCTGGGCTTCTACATTAGAGAACCACCTGCTGATTTTAACTGGGATGACAATCAAATTGTATTTTTGGATTGTAATAAAAATGTCAATATTTTTACTTTAAATCTTATCTGTCTACATTACTACTTAGTCTCTAAATATTAGCACTACAGGCTATAGATAATGAATATGACTCATATTTCATCTCAAACTCTTACTCTGAACATACATCACATCATTTCTAGAAGCAAAATAGTTGAACACATTAGGAATAAATATATCCAAATATGAACAGCAATAGCAATAGCATAAAATATTCCTTTTTATTCAAAAGACTTGTTTGTGTAACTGCATAAAATATCTCTTTGCTTTAAAATGTAGCTTTTAATGTGGTCCTAATTCATACTATAGTTACATATATGTAATTTCTACTCAGTTTGTTATAATTGGTCCAAGCAGATGTTTTTAAAGATTTTTAAATTGCCTTTAAAAAAATGTAGACTTGGAACCCCTCAGCCACATTGTTACATAGCACTACCCTGTTGGAGATGGGTAGCACTATGCAGTTTTAGATGGGATCTATTCAGTAGACTACCGTAGTCTCTACCTGCATCCTGAATCCATTTGCATTGCTGTCTTTGTCTTTTTTGCCCCACTGGACAAAAGGCCTGGGTTAACAATTCGGAGCATCTTTAAAATTGAATGAGTATATAACATTTAATTAAGCAAAATAAATACATTTTGATTATTTTTAAAAACAAATGTCACCATGGATGAAAGATTAAATTGAAAGATTAATGATGTCTTCCCAGAGATAAAAGAAATACCACATCTACTTGACCATAATTACTTGTTTCCACTTGAAAATAATAAATGTAGTGGCTTCAAGATCCTCAGTGTGGGGAACGATTTGAAGTCATGTTCTCCTGAGTTACATGAGAAAAATGGTTTTCATTGCTATCCAGCCCAACATCCCTCTTTATACCTTAAGCATTTGACACTTCTTTTTCATTTCTGAAATAAAATCTATAAAGAATGCAGCCTACAATATGCATGGTTTTTTAAAATCATTAAAATTCTCTAGATATAATTTAACAATAAGCAAGATAAAACTCATGTATAGTAAAATAGGTATTGACAGAAAAATCCTCAACTTCAATTTATAATGAAAACCTAGATTTATGAGAAATAAGATTAGAAGACATTCTGTGCAAGAAGTGCAGGGAAATAAAAAGCTGATCACAGAATGAAAACCACCAGCCAGACATATTTGATGGATATCAAAAAGAGGAGACAAATAACTTCCATTGAAATGAGGACAACATCACTAGGGAATGACCAAGTATGACTACACATAAAATTTGCCCATATTGCCAGGGATTTAGCTCAGTGGTTTCGCCACCTGAAACGCAAGGTCCCAACTTCAATCCCCAGTACCCCCCCAAAAAATTACACATATGAGTTCCTAAGTATCTGATGTTAATTTTTTTTTCTTTTGAGATGGGGTCTCACTATGTAGTTGAGACTGACCTGGAACTCACTATGTAGCCCAGGCTGGTCTCGAACTCACAGCAATCCTCCTGTCTCACCCTCCGGAATGCTGGGATTACAGGCGTGCGCCACCATGCCTGGCTTATCTGATGTTAATTTTAAGGTTGTATGACGTGAGAGGAAATCCTTCTCTTTAAAAGGCATTTAGCAACCTTCACCTTGCTTTATTACTGAAAATTTACACTGTATTACTTACTGTATCCCTGACTTACTACTACCACTAAAACACTCTACAAATGTCACAAAGCTCCCTTCAGTGGAATGGCACTGCCTCCATGGGACCTCTATAAAACTTTATGCTAAGTAGAAAGATTAGGGAAAGCAACCTGCTAATGGTTAAAGTTCTATGTGTAAAACAAGTTTGAAAAAGACCCCAAGTAGTAAAGTTCAAAATACTGTATTTATTTTAGACTTGGTGCATCATATAATGTATTTTTGAAATTTTGGATTTATAGTGGTTATAAAATGATTTTACACAGTCTCACCAATGACCTATGGCCCATAAAGTGGGAGAAAGTTTAATAAATAAGTGCAAAACAAATTATAACCGTTACTTCATGGGATAAAAATATATTGTGCAGTTGGAAGTGTGCATTTTCTAGTTGGAAGAATAATTCCCAATGCTGTTACAAAATATTAGACTAAGCTAGACTTCTAAGAATCATCTTGCTAATTCACTCAGATGAAAAATGACTTAAAGAAAATCAGCTCATATGGATCAGAAGTAGAAAAGTAAATAAGGTTTATTTTAATAAACAGACCATACAAGTTAGACTTTCTTTGTGGATAGCTTGATGCAGGCAGAGAGTGGAACTGGATTTGCAGCTCCACGATGGGCAGTTTGTGTTAATTGATGGCTGCCCCGTCACATGAAACACAGTTTCTGCCAAACCAAAACTGAGAAATGAATTAATCTTCCCTCTGATTGTTTTGATATTAAAACCGAACCAGGGCCGGGGATTTGGCTCAGTGGTTCCACTGCATGCCTCTCAAGAGCAAGGGCCCAAGTTTGATCCCCATTACAAAAAATAAAAATAAATTATTTTTTTTATTTTATATATATACATATATATATTATAAATTTCTCAGTCCAATACCTGATGTAATTTAAAAATCTTAATAAATGGTGTAAGAGAAAGGGAGGAATGGAACATAGAAAGGGAGAGAGAGAGAGAGAAAGAGAGAGAGAGAGAGAGAGAGAGAATGTGAACAAAATAAAAGCCAAGCAGGAAGAAAATCAGTGCAAAAGAAAAATCTCAGTAACTATGTCTAATTTATAGTTGAGAAAATTGTGCAACAAATATTTTATAGACTTAATAGCCTTTTATATAGTATGTTGAAAAATAAAGGTAAAATTTTCTTTAAGGTATATCATAATTCTTAGTTTAGATAATTATTCGTCCTTAATCATAGCACCTAAACCTGGAATATTTGATGTTGTATAGATGTCACTGTATCTCAAATACAATAGATATGGCATTTTTAGGACAAATATATTGTGGAATATGATATGACCCTTTTAGTCTCATTGATAGCATGAGACATATATTCTGAAGATTTTTCCTAAGGAAGGGATGAACATAAAGTCAATTTTATAAACCAAAGACATATGTATGTATGTGTGTATGATTATATATATAGGTATGTTGATGTTTGTATGTGTAGAGATAAAGAGAGATACAGAGATTTTAATAGAGAATAACAGCAGTTATTATAAACAGAAAACTGTTTTTTTTTTTTTGGTACCAGGGATTGAACTCAGGTCCTTGTGCTTGCAAGGCAGGCCACTGAACTGCTGAGCTAAATCCCTGGCCCCAGAAAACTTCTTGTAAATAAATCTTTTATGTCATTTAATTGCCATTACCCCAATATATTACTATCAAATTTTTAATAAGTATGTATGGTTCATTAAAATAGCTGAGACGATTTCTTTAAATAATGAAAAGGTAAATGTAACTAAATGATATGATTTTCAGAAAAAGGTTCTGCAGAAAATAAATTTACTGACATTTTGTTAGGCAAAATTTCAATGTATAAACTGGCCAGAAAATACATTGGCATGAATGTTTATAGTACAACAGCACCATTGGCAGAAACTAAAATAGGTACTCATTGCTTTATTTAAAATAGAAACCTCAGGAGAAGCTGATTGTTTAGTTATAGGAACATTCCTCCTTCGTGTTATGCCATGTTCAACACCATTCTTGTGCTTGTTCTTAGAAGTGACAAATCCCCCCCACATACACATGCTGATGCTATGTCCCCGTGAGGCCCAGGTGAGGAGAAGTTTACATGACAGACAGCAGTGGTGATAGTCAAAACATGATACTAGGTTTGCTGATCAAATAAAGTGATGCCAGTGAAATTGGGAAAATATGTTTCTTTCTCTGTGTCCTGGGATTAATTTTGGATCACTAAACACAGTGACATGGTAGACATAGTGTTCTTTTGCATGGCTCTGAACTTAGGTAAGAAAGTTCTCAATTTTTATAATATTGTAGATTTCAAGGGGCAGTAGGATGAAACTACTGAGAGGTACTTAGAAGTTGGTAAGTGGAACTCTGTCAACTTATTTTATGAGAGTCTTTAATCCCTAAAATTAAGTATATAAAATTTCTGTGGTCCATTGGGCTTTATGCTAAAAGTCTAGAATACATTTTATTCTGGCAACTTGGAACCATTACAGTAAATGTTTGTTCTGACCCCATTATAGTGTGCTTACCCTGAATGTTGAGTCTTTTTCAGTAAAGCCAGAATATTTGATTATATGATCAGAGTGTTCCACACACTGCTTCTATCAACAAACAACTGTCAAAAGCTCATTTTCCTCCTGCAGAACCTTTGTATGCTTCTGCATACAAAACGTTTTGGATATTAAAACATGACATTAAAATAAGAGCTTTTCTATATGGTCTCCTTCCTAGTCACCAAAAGCATAGCTGTGCATTTCAAATACATTTAGTTATAAATAGAGCAAATTAGCTAGAAAGTTTAATTTAGACTTTAACTTTTTAAGAGATATCAATTTAACATTGAAAAAATTTCTGATCAGTGGTCTGTGTCTGAGTTACAGAGTTTTTGCAGTTGCATCAATATCTAGTTTTTAACATTAAACTCCACTTTAAACTCACTGTACATTGCACTGAATCCACTTCTTAGGTTTAAACAATAATCAAGCAATTTTTTTTAAATGTAAGATAGTTCACAGTATAGAAAATGTTGATGAATCGAGTCCAGAATGTCAGTATAAGGTGGTTCTAGACATTAACTAACAGTCTTTTCAAGATTGTCACGCTGAGATTAAAAGAAAAATAGCCAGTAGATTGAGACTGAAGTTCCCAGGAAATAAAATGTGTAACCATCACTTTGTCGGAGGATCACGGACCACCTGGACTGATAGCCCTATTAGGACTATATCCAAGGGCTCGCTGTATCTACTTTTTTATTTCCCATACCAAAAAGAAAGTTCTCATACACTGGTAAAATACACATGTCCGTAGGAAGAGTAAAACTCATTTCATTGTTACAGCTAGATACATACTCCTAAAAATGACTACTTCATTGTTTTTAGAAGTATTAATTTCTATTGGAAATGTGGTCAATGTATAGAATTTTATCTATTTATAAAAGGCACATATTAATGTGAAGTCTGACATTACCCAGGAAAGTCTTCCAATGTGATAAAACTTTTAAAAAGTATTGTGTACTTCTTAAAATAGTGGTTTGTGTGCTGAGGAGGTTTTGATATTATATTTATGTTTGGTTTAATATTCAAGTATATAATTATATTGCATTATCAATTTTTATTGGAAAAGTGCTTTCTTAAAATAAAAAAGGAAAAGAATAATTAAATATTTGATTTTAAAATTTTAAATGTAGCAGGGCATAGGAACATATGTCTGTAATCTCAGCACCCCGGGAGACTGAGGCAGGAGGATTGCAAGTTCCAGCCCAGCTTTGTCAATTTAGTGATTTATCAAGACCCTGTCGCAAGAAAGGAAAGAAAGAAAGAAAGAAAGGAAGGAAGGAAGGAAGGAAGGAAGGAAGGAAGGAAGGAAGGAAGGAAGGAAGGAAGGAAAAGAGCAGGAAGGAAAGTGCTGTATATATAGCTCAATGTGCAGGCCCTGGCTCCAATACCTAGTACAAAAGAAGAGCAATTTTTGCTCATTTTCAGGTATCTACATATCAATAAATTTGTTAAAATATTATGATTATGCTTTGGGAGATATTTGAAAAATCTCCAAAATTTATATCTTTTGAATCTTGCAAAATGTGTACTTTTTTCAGTTAATATAATTCATTTAAATGGAAGCAAATATTTCCTGTGTTATATTGATGACTATAAATAGAGTAACCAAGTGAATCTAAATGATTTATATGAAGAGTTACAATATTATTCAAATTCACAAATGCAGACACTAAAAAATAAAAAGTTATCGCCTGTATTTCTTAGTACGAGTTACAAGTGCTACTAGCAATTTATACTGTTTTAAGGAGATCCCAAAAACCACTTGTTTTCACCAAGATATTATTTATTTCCAGGCCATTTTCTTCCTGATTAAGGGTAAACCTTTAAAGGTCAAACAAAATAAAATGGCTCATTCACAGACTTGCTGTCTTTGTATTTTCTGTCAGGATGATTGAAAGAGGACATTTTCTGTAGATTTAGAATAACTTTCGATAAAGAACTTATGTTCTATGTCACCAAAATTCTAAAAATATCTTTTAATATCTCACCAAATGGAGGATGCAAAGATTGGCAACACATTGTTAACCTTTCTACTCTAAATTACAATTAAATTTGAATGAAGTAACCTCTGTCTTTTTTTTTTTTCTCTCATATTTTAAAATTTGGCTGAATCTCTTCTTCACTTTCTAGGGATCCTTACAATGCTATTGAAGCTATTGATCCAGAAAAACTGAATGTCTTTCGGACAGTCAGAGAGATAACAGGTACTTTTTAAAGTGCAGTCTTTGTCCTAGACACTTTTTGAATTCAGTGTTTTCCTAAAAATATTAAATAATATTGGCTTTAGCAACTAATTTTTAAAGTGAATTCTAATTTGTATAAATATAATATTATGAGAAATAGGTGTCTTGCTCCTTAGCTTTTGTGCATATTTTGAAAGACCATCAAATTACAAAAATAAGTATCACTGGAATTATGTCATTGCTGCTTTAACGAGTATTTAATAAATAATCTATGATCTTTAAACTCAAATTTTTCAATGATTTTCTAAGGAGTAATATGTAATATACTTTTAGCACATATTTGTTGAGTTCCTAATATCCTCTAGACTGTGGTAACGTGGTTATTGGACTCATAGAAATGAATCAGACATGGATTTACCATTGAACAGTGTGAAATCTAATGAGGAAGACTAGATAATTGTGTAAATGGCCTAGAAGTCAAAGTAAATACTGATGTCATAAAAAACAAATAAAATGATAGAGGATTTCAGAAAAAGGATATTTTTTTCTTTAAACAGCATTTTTACATTCATTAGAATAAATAAATATATATTAAAATTTTAATATATAGTTTTATGATTTCATATGTCTGTAAAAGGATTCTTGATGCTAAACTTTTGATATCAGTTAATTATTCCTTACTTCAGAAACTTGAGATAAGGCGATAAGGCATTCAATCTTGGGAAATATATCATAGAATGCTTTAAAAATAGAAATGTTCAATGCTTTTTACTTTCCTCTCACTTCGTTCAATATATTTTCATCATATACAAGAACAATACCTTTTCTAAGACCATTACGATCTTATTTAGTTGTACTGTCCCTATATCACTCTAGGTTTCTTGAACATACAATCATGGCCTCCAAATATGACTGACTTCAGTGTGTTCTCTAACCTGGTGACCATTGGTGGCAGAGTACTCTACAGGTAGGTGGTATAAGTGTTTACACCTACAGCCAGCCCAGGTGGTAAGAGGAGAATCACATCTACATTAAGTCAAGATGATCAATGTTATTGAATTACTGATTATGGAAACGTGATATTTCTACCTTTAATTGAAACCTCAATGAAAATGTATTTAATGATAACAAAGTATACAAGTAGGTATTTTGGCGAATCAACTGCGTATCACATGATATTTGTGCTTTGCAGGTATGGAATGAAGGATGTGAACCATAGAATTAAACCTTATATTGATTTTATTACTATAACTAAAGATAGAATTGGGTGATTTAATAATGTCTCAGGCATATGAGATATAAATGCTTTTGTACCAGGAGGCTCTGTTTGTGGTACTACCACAAGAACTGGACTATCACTCTGTATGCAGCATTGCTTAATAAATGCTCAGAAATTAGAGCTTATCAGCACTTTGTTATAAAATTTCAGTGTGAATATTTTAAATTCATGTGATAAAAATAAGTAACAATTTAGCCACTACTTTGTTTAGGTTTATCTCAGATATTCTGTTTAAAGTTTTTAATTCATGAATGAATATATGCTGATTTACATAAGGAGATTTTTATTTAATGTTTTTGCTTAAATCTTTAAAAATCTAAATTAATTGCTACCATTGAATATTTTATTGTAAGCCTTTTTAGAAAGTACATTGAATTTTACAATTAAAATCTAATATAGATATGTAAGACTATTTTTAAAGGTAAAAGGAAAGGAACTTAGTAAGGATAGTTAAAATATAAAATATACTTACATGCTATATGTAAATAACTTTTAGTGATCACAAAAAATACTATAAATCAGTCAAAAACATAAATTAATCAAAGCATTTGACATTGTAATAACAAATCAAGGTGGTTATGATGGGAGCAAAAGTTTGAAAGAATAAATTACATTTCAGTATTTATCATTAAATCCCACATATTTTTAATTATTAAAAATACATAAAAATAAAAACAAAAATATCGAGCCAAAAATATTCTAAAAGGTAACAGAAAAATATATTTAAATTACTAGTGAAAAGAAGAGCTTTGATCTCCAAAATGAAAAATAATGTTCATTAGTCAATTGAAAGTTGGGATTGCAGGAAATGTATTTATTCTTTAGGGCACAGAAAAATAATTATTATAATAATATGCACTATATTGAAATAAAAGCAATTTATTTTAAATGATAGCTTACACAGAGTAGTTGTTCTTTAAATTTTAGAATTTTCCCAAGTTATCTAAGCCTTCAGAGTGGGAGATTAATTTCATTCTCACTAAGTTTTACTTTGTCCTAACCTTACTTATATGTGCTTTAGCTATAACAATTTTTTGATTCCTGAGGTATAAAGTTAACTACCTGAGCTGTATCTGCTATATCTATCCAATAAAAGCACATCTTAAATCTGTGACATAGTATAGAATTAGTGTCTCACTTTTGAGAGCTAAACAATCACTCTATAAATACTTATTTAGTCAGTACAGGATTTTGTCACTGAAGAACCTATAATTTAGGATACATGACAGAAGGCAGTGAGTAGATATTTCAGTGGTAAATATAATGAGATGTACATATTGTCAAAACCATGATCCTAAGAAATGAACATTTTGCTTTTAGAAATCAAACTATTTTACAACTGAAAGCATTTTACAAATAAACATGAAGATGTTACTCTGTACATAGATTTATTGATTCAATCTCTGTTTATGTTACATTAACATTCTTTAGAGTAAGATATGACATCCTTATTTTAGTTTAGGAGTGGATTTCATGGCCAGATGATATTTATTTCCATTCCACTTTCCCCTTTCTCTTCTCCAGTGGCCTCTCCCTGCTGATTCTCAAGCAACAAGGTATCACCTCTCTGCAATTTCAGTCCTTGAAGGAAATCAGTGCAGGAAATATCTACATCACTGACAACAGCAACCTGTGTTATTACCACACCATTAATTGGACAACACTCTTCAGCACAATCAACCAAAGAATAGTGATTCGGGATAATAGAAAAGCTGAGAATTGTAGTAAGTACATTATCCATGTACTTAAAACATCGAAACTCGAAAATTGCTCTAGTCTACATCGGCTCACACAATTGACAGTAACAACAGATCAGAAGTGTCACCTTCTTATCCCAACCCTGAAAGAGAGTATTAGTGACACTCGGTAACATGGGATAAAATAATCGGTGTTTGAACATTTCATAACATGCTGCATGTTTACAAATCTTTCCTAATATTAGGAATCCTGTGTAGATATATATTTAGTAGGATTCAATCACTTTGTGGAAATTCATCTTACTGAACTATGTTTGTTGTTTCCTTTTGGTGCATTTGGAATATAGAATATCAGAGTTTTGCTCTTTGGGACCAGTGGGAGAGATGAAGGTGTGCTCCCTTGAAATGTGGAAAAAAAAAATCCTTCCAGAAGTTTACTATCTAAGAAAAATGTTTTTTTTTTATAAATGAATTTATATTGGAAGATAATGATCTCTTTTTTCAGAATTTTTTATGGGTTTTGATCCATTTCATTGCTTCTTTGTTACAGCAAAGGAAATAATGTTTCCCTAGGGCATGTGACTGTACTGTTTCTGTCTAGCAATGATATTAATGTTGCTGGATAGCATGGTTCCTTGCATTAGTAGAAATGAAAATCAAGGCTAAAGCACAAATTACAGGACAAAATTTCATTGGAAAGTTAAAGGGAAAATAAGGAGAGTCCACTTTAAGTAGTTGGAAGAGGGTCATACCTTGATCCAGGTTTTTGACCTGCCCTCTTGCAAAGAAAGGGCTTGAACCTTTCAAGTATTAGCTCTCTGGACATGGACTGGATGATCATTACCTCAGATCTGATGTTATAGCTCTGGAACCCTTATCCTTCATAGCTGAGATCCCTTTCCAGGAGAGAATCCTCTCCACCTCTGGTGATCTCTGTCAAACGGGGTTATCCCTTTCCTGGAGTCTGGGTGATGGATCTCAGGTTTAGGATGATGGCTGGAGGCTTCTGTGTGTAGCTGCATGTCCCTGTAAACTTCTTATCTTCATGTCTTCAATCTTGAAGGGGGAGATGAGATCATAAATTCAGGACTAATTAACCCTGTCCCTAGACAGACACTCCCTAAAAGATTAACATACCCCTATGAGGATTTGAGGAGGGATTTGACCCAAGATTTACAGTGACAAAAGATACAATATGAAGGTCAAGTTTTGTTGTTTTTTTCTTTTAGCACTGGGGATTGAACTTGGGCCCTTGTTCTTTCGAGCCAGGTGGCAGAACCACTGAGTTAAATCCATGCCAAGTTTTGTTGTTTTTAGTTTTTTGTTGGGTGATTGTAGGCCCAACTGAAGAGACATGGTTCTCAGCAACAATGACTTTTAAGTCCCTAATATCCCAGAAGAAAAAACAAATCATGCTTTTAATGAATAGAGCAGGAACGGGTACAGGATTCTTTCTATCCTCATCACTGTGGTGGTCCCTGATGATGTCATGATATTGTCACTTTGATGACTACTACTCGATTCTTTCTGATTTTACTCCTGAGTACACAGACTTCTATCTACATCTTATGAATGCTACTACTTATTATGTAACAATCTGACTTATTCACAGTAAATACTAATTATAAAGACTTGGAATTTAAATGATTTGTTTGCAAATACATAGTCTTGTTATGGGCACGTGATGAGTCAGTTCTTTTGAAAAGTGTTGCTTTCCAGCTGTTGCCTTACTTGTAATCTCATCATCAAGACAATTATCAAGGTATTTAAAAATAATGATAGAGTTCACTTGTGTGTGTTTAAATGCATAGCAGATGACTTTTTAAAATTTAGGTACTCTAGAGGGCAACATTTATTAAGTAATTAGTGAGTTAAGTAATTAGTGAATCAATTTAGTTTTAATATCTCACCTTTTTCCAGAAAGACTCTAAAGCACCTCAAGTTAACAATGTTAAAAAAATATCACTTATAATTTATGAGGAACTCACTTATGTGCTAGCTACTTTCTGACTCTTAAAGTTTTTTTTCCCCCAGAAGAAAAGAGATCTGTTGCAATGTGAGGTTCTTGTTTAAATGAACTTAAATTTGTCTTTCCCACATAGAATCAAGGAATATAAGATCTATTTATATATGAACATATATGTGTTCATATGAAATAGAATTCATCTCTTATTTCCTTAATCTTTGACATTACTGATTCCAAGTTTTCCTTGCTTTTATTCTAATATTTAAGCTTCTTACCCTACATTTCTCTAAGTATGTGTGCAGACATATCCCAAAGTAGATGGTGCATGACTGTTCAACTCTGTTTAGAAATAAACATCTTTATGTGATCCTTTTGCAAATCCTACCAACATGCCTATCTTTTAAAACTTTTACACCTGAACAAATAAAAATGGGAAGAAGAAAATATAGAAAGAAATTAAATGTAGAAAAGCAAAATGAGAAAAAGGGGAGTTTTCAAAAATTATTTTGTATCTTTTAATGACCTGTAAATTTTTCAAACAACCATAAGAGAATAAGTAGTAATAAAAATGGCAATACATTAAAAAATCAAAGATGATCTTAAATTTTCAGTATTAGGCCTCTGGGATTAAGTTTAATTAGCTTAAGTCAATGCACATATTTTCCACGCCTGTATATTTATATTTTACTTTTTAGTTTGAGAAACAGATGAAGCACTTAGGAGAAATATAGTTTTATGTACTACAGCATAAAATCAAGCATATAATTTTTCATTTTTAACATCTGAGAATGAGTACACTTTGCATGAAATTCATTTATCAAAATTCAGACTACAGTCTTACTGCACATTGCATTCATGAAATTCTGTAGTTTCAGAAGTATAATTATCTGGGAACCATGACTTCAGAGATGATGCTGTTGATATTTATAACGAGCCTACAAGTGGTTCATCACATGAGATAAAAATCTTGTCATCCATATTACTATCTGCAATGTGAAGATCCAAATGTTTTCTTTTGCATTGTACATATTGGATTTTAACACATTCTTTCTGTATTCACACACACACACATGATATGTTCATTCCTTATAATACGTTTATGCAAATTTAGCATACATGTGTGTTGTTATATTTACATGCAATATAGATGGACGTACACAAGCCCAGAATGGATATATATGCACCTGGACTCATAAATACCTCACTGTCTCCCTTGCCCCACAATGCCATCATTATAAAATACTCTGATCTAAATCTGGGAGTTGTTTTGTTAACTTAAAGTAAAAAAAAAACACCCTTCATTTATAACAGTGGCTTTTGGAATTCAACATGACTCAAAACAGTACTGACAATAAAAAGAAAATGTCACTGCACCTATAAAGGGTGACAGTGGCTTGAGCAGTCACTCCTTTTAAGTCAGAACTTTCAAAGCAGACTTTGTGGTTTACAGAAATTGAGAGTGAGAGAAACTCTAGGTAGTGAAAAGCTAAAACACTTTCTTGTCTCCTTCCTTTATGTGACTATGGTATTAACAAAATGACAGTGTTAGGTGGAAGAAGTTTAGTGGAGGTTAATAAAAATATTGAAGTTTTCTTTAAAAAAGATTTCACCAGGAAATTTTAAAGCTAGAAAAAATAATTAAAGGTAGAGATAAGTGTTATACCAACTTTTCAAAATCCAGGTTACACTAAAACACATATACCTCATATCTTAAAAACATGTGTTGGGGCCAAGGATTTAGCTCAGTGGTTCCATCAAGGGCCTTGCAAGTTCAAGGGCCTAAGTTCAAGGGCCTAAATTGGATTCCCAGTACCAAAAAAATAAAATAAAATAAATAAAATAAAATAAAATACATTTTTTGTTATATGGCTAGACATGATATATAAAACAAAACAATTCATTGTAGATTTTCAAAATGGAAATGTGTTTATATTTTCTAATTATAACAATACTTTTCATATTATTCGAATTCAAAACAATAAAACATTTATAAAGAGGATATAATTTTGGTATGTTATATAATAATTGAAAGATAGTAGAACATATTTTCAAATATGAATGGGATCATACCATATACACTTAAATACTATTTAGCCATCTATCTCTTTTACTTAATGTATTATGAGCATCTCCCATTTTGAAACATAGAGCTCTGTGTTATTCTTTTAAAAACTTCAGATGTTTTCTTGAATAAATGCCAAATTAACATAATTTGAATTATTTTCCATTTTCATATTATTATTATCACCATAATGTGGATCTTAATTCATAAAACATGTTACACTATGCAATTATGTCCTGAGGCTAAAAACTCAGAAGAAGTGGAAGTTCTGTGGAATTCAAGCAACATAAAAATTTTGTACTGTTGCAATATCATCCTTCAAATATACTGGTTTAGTTTACATTTGTTTAAAGTCTGTATGATAGAAATAGAAGTATTTTTGACCTCTCTTTACAGAATGTCCATGGTTCTAAGTTTCAGTGATCTTAAAGAAGAAAAATAATTTTTTTTTATGGTCCCAAGTTCAATCCCTAGCACCAAAAAAAAATGATTTTTTTTAATATTTGAATGTTTTGGATTAACATTGAGCATTTTTATATGCTATTGATCATTTATACTTTATATCTTATATATTATTTTATCTATCAACTGTATTTGCTTTCAATTTTAGAATTCCCTCTTTTCTTCCCATTTGAAAGAAGTGTTCACATGAGATTTGATGGAATGAACTAAGCCAGAGCCTAATGCCTTGTGTTTGTGTGTGTGTGTGTGTGTGTGTGTGTGTGTGTGTTTGTTTTTGTTTTTTTGTTTTCTGGTACCGGGGCTTGAACTCAGGACCTTGTGCTTCAGAGGCAGGCACAGGGCCACTGAGATAAAAACCCAGCCCCTTAACTTTTTTTTTTGGCCTTGTGTTTTAATATTTTCTTCATTGAATGCCTGGCTCAAAGATTATGCTATATATCACTGAACTGCTGCAGCTGTTGTCATTGTTATTGTTACCATATAATTATGTTCTTTTCCTATTAAAATAGATCATAAATTTTATACTCATATATACGT